TTTTAGATTGTAATTGGCTAAGAACATGAAGGCTTTGTCTAAGAGTGTGAAATGTGTTTAACATAAACTGTTTAAGGGTTAAGCCCCTTTGTGCAATAGAGCCCGCAGTTTGTTGATCCCTCGGGCCTTTAATGGAGTCACAAAGGAAGCTCAAGAGGGAGAGGGCATGATAAGGCTGTATGGACTCCCTCTTCTGGCAGGACTTTGCCCTTGATATCTCTGGCCACAAGGCGGGTCCCATTTCAGTCAGCGGGTAGGGGTTGAGGGATCATTTTAGTTCACAGGAATTTGGGGGATATTAAATTTATCTCACCTTCTCTCTCTTGCCCCCAGTATGTGTGTGGGTATGGATATAGATACAGATAGACATAGATATAGGCTGGCAGTCAGTTAGAAAAAGCTAATAAATATTTAAGGTCCTGTACTTTTAAAAAAAAATTCATTCATTCTGTCAATCAACAAATATTTACTTAGCATCTACTAGGTGCCACGAAATATTCAAGGTTCTGAAGATACAGAAATAAAACAAAACTGACAGAAATTGCCATCCTCATTCTGGTGAGAAAAGACAATAGACATAAATAGAAGACATTCAATGGTGATAAGTGTCACAGAGAAAACGGATCAGGAAGGAAGACAGGAAGTGTTGTGGGGTAACAGGATCAAGCTGGATGGAACAGGCTGCTCAGGGTAAGGGCAGGAAACCAGTTAGGTGAGATGACCACACCTCCTGTTGCCTAAGACACTATTGCTTTACACTTACGGATCAGCTGAAAACCAGCAATCCTCTTTAGCAATCCTTTTCTTCCCCAAAGTATTCGAATTTGGAACTTTAGATGTATTACCATGGTCACCTTAGATTGATATTTGTTCTTCTTGAAATGTTTGGTAGAATTCAGCATAGAAGCCATTAGGCCCTGGGATTTTCTTTGTTGGGAGACTTTTTATTATAGCTTTGTTTTTATTACTCACTATTGATTTGTTGGGGTTTTCAATTTCTTAATGGTTCAGTGTTAGTAGGTTGCATGTGTCCAGGAATTATTTATTTCTTCTACGTTTTTCAATTTGTTGGTATATATTTGTTCATATATCACTATTGTCTGTAGTGATTTTTTTGTATTTCTGCAGTTTCAGTTGTCTTCTTTTTTGTTTCTAATTTTATTTATTGGGTCTTCTCTCTTTTTTTCTTAGTCTGGCTATAGGTTTGTCAATTTTGCTTATTTTTTTCAAAAAACCAACTTTCATTTTGTTGATCTTCTGTACTTTTTTTTAGTATCAATTTCATTTATTTTTTCTCTGATCTTTATTATTGCTTTCCTTCTACTAATTTTTGGTTTGGTTCGTTCTTGCTTTTCTATTGCCTTGAGGTGCATCAGTAGGTTGTTTATTTGAAGTCTTTCTAGTGTTCTGATATAGGAATTTATTGCTATAAACTTCCCTCATAGTACTGCTTTTTCTGCATCCCATAGATTTTGGTATGTTGTATTTCTATTTTCATTGCGTCAAGAAATTTTTAAATTTTCTTCTTAATTTTTTCACTGACCCCTTGGTCATTTAGGAGCATGTAGTTTAATTTCCATGGATTTATGTATTTGTTTCCTATTTTCTGATTATTGTGAGACTCTTCCTTTTTTCCTTTCTTACAGTCTTCCTTTGTGGTTTAGTGATTTTCTCTGGAAGTATGTTTTAATTTGTTGCTTTTAATTTTTAGTGAATCTGTTATAGGTTTTTGTGCTGTGGTTACCATGAGGCTTTCAAAAAACATCTTATAGATATAACAAGTTATTTTAAAGAGATGATAACTTAGATCACAAATAAAAGAATAGAAACAAAGGCCAAAAAAGACAAATGCAAAGTTCTACACTTTAATGCCTTTCCTCCATATTTTAACTTAATTATCTTAATTTACATATTTTTAAATTATATATGTGTTAACAGGTTGCTGTAGCTGTTATCGTTTTTGATGGATTTATCTTTTGGGATTCATACTAGAGTTATGAGTAGATTTACCCCACAATTACAATGATAGAACATTCTGGGTTTGTCCACATACTTAAGTATGTCAGTGGGTTTTACACCTTGAAAAGTTTTCTTTTTGCATGTTAGTACAAAACTTTCTTTAAATAAGCTTTCTACCCCTTGCTTTTGCTAAACTCCCTATTGAAGAATTCTCTTTATCTGTAAGAGAAATCTCTTTATCTGTAAGACAGATCTGATGGTGGTGAGTTTTACCAGCTTTTGTTTGTCTGGGAAAGACTTTGTCTCTCCTTCATAGCTTAAGGATAATTTTGCTGGATACAACATCCTTGGATGGCAGTTTTTTTCTTTGAGCACTTTGAAAATATAGTTACACTCACTTCTGACCTGTTTCTATTGAAAAAAATCTGTTGCCAGAAAAATGTTCCTTTGTGTGTTGCTTGCTTCTTTTCTCTTGCTGCTTTTAGGATTCTCTTTTTGTCCTTGACCTTCGAAAGTTTGATTATTTTATGCTTTGGGGCAGTGGGGGGTAGTCATATCTGGGTTGACTCTCAGACCTTCCTGTACCTGGATATTTATATCTTTTTCAAGCTTTGGAAAGTGTCCTGTTACTTAAATAAGCTTCCTTTAAATAAGCTTTCTAACCTTTGCTCTTGCTAAGCTCCCTATTGAACACCAATAATTCCTAGATTTGGACTTTTGAGAGAGTTTTTTTATTTTGTAGGTGGTCTTTATTCCTTTTTGTTCTTTATTTCCTTTGTTCTCTCTGACTGCATTTTTAAATAGCCAATCTTTGAGCTCACTCATTCTTTCTCCTGCTTGGCCCCTTCTCCTGTTTAGATTCCCTAATGGGTTCTTCAGTTCAGCATGTGTATTTCTCAATTCCAAAATGTCTGTTTTTTTTTTTTTTATTATTTCAATCCCTTCGTTAAATTTCTCTGATAAATTTCTGAATCATTGAGTTTCAATAAAACTGTGATTGTGAATTTCCAGTCAGAAAGCTCACGAATTGCTGTCTTGTTGGGATCAGTCACTAGATTTTTGCTTTGTCCTTTTGGGAAGGTCATAGTTCCCTGTTGGCTGTTGTATCTTGTGGGTATATGTCTATATCTTTGCATTGAAGGATTACTTATTCCAATTTTCTCTGGCCCCCTTTCTTTGGTTATTATTGCATATGTTTGCTTAGCAAATCTTTACCACCAAGTTGCTGCCTACTTTTCAGCTCTAGGTGGTGCCTTGAGCCCAGGTTAACCTCTGCTCTAGTACATAATATAATAAATGGGGGCTGTCCCAGAGGGGTTTTCTGGCAGTGTGGGGAGATTGGCTGGGGGTGTGTGTCTATAGGACCTGTGGAACGTAGCCCCTCCAGCATGGTGATAAACAGCTCTCTGATTTGCTGTTTCCTTAGGCCGAGTTACAGAGAAGAGTATCCAGGGCTGGGGATGGTAGTCCTGCTTCCATCCTCTTTGTCTCTGCCCGTCCTCAGGGATATCTCTCCCCTCAGGCAGTCACGATGCTTCCTGAGGGTTAAGGCAAAGACAGGTCTCCTGCCAGGAAACCCAAGATGGTGGGGAAGCTGGTTGACCACCTCAATTTCACTTTTTCCAGTGCAGAAACTGTCAGGTGGGAGAAGATTTCCATGTATTTATTCCTGAGCAGAATGGGGGAAGAGGTACTGCAAATGTGGAAGCCCAATTCTCCTACCATCTGCCTGGAGTTTTTACACTTCTCTGTGGCCCTGGAATATTTCTCATTCTGATATTCGAGTTCTGGGTTATTGTTTGTGAAAATATCAGCATTGTATTTTGGTTTTTGGTTTTCTATGGGGCGAAACAAAGTCAGCTTGCTTCTACACTGCCATTTTAAAACGCTCAGTATGTTATCTCTACCTTAATTAAAGTGATTTCCATCTTTTTCTCATTATATGTGAATACATCTAGTTTCTTATTACTTATTCTAACTAGTTTTTATTCTAGGGCCCACCTGTACCTACACTTGCTCAGTTGTTAATTAACTAATTATTAACTTGTTCATTCCTTCATTTATTTTTATACTTCTTATATGAAGGACTACTGATCTTTTTATTTCTTGTAAACCCAAACATTCATTTTAATTATATGTCAGTTATCAGGCAACTTCATCATGTCTTTTAGCATAGTTGTTTTGAACATATATATGTCGGGAATCCATATTATTTTATTATAGATTAATTTTCTTTTACCTTGATTTTATATTAGAGTTAGGAAACTATATCGACTTTTAAAAAAATCAACATGTGGGTTATTTTATCTATGAATTTCTATTTAAGATATTAAAGAGGGCATTAGATAATATTTTATAAAAATGGAAAGTTGTCTGATAGAGCTGTGAACACTGCATTAGCTAATTTCTAAGGTTCTTCTATCTCCAAAATCCTTAAGACTACTGGGTTTCTCTAACTTCACTAAGAATAATGAACAACCCTGTTTCCCAACACAGTATGTATTCAATTTACAGAAACTTATACTAAGTTGAACGTACACTTTTGATAGTATAAACGTCTACTTTCTACCCCCAAATGATAATTCGCTGTTTTTCTGTTGTGATTTCATTGAGTTGAGGAGCTCTTGCTGAATTAACGACGCAAACACTATCTTTGCTGGCATGGTCGTTTCACACCCATACCTGTGCACTCTTCTTACCTAGCTTGACAAGGCGGAGCATGGAGGTATTACTTCCTCTTTCAGTACAAGCAGTTACTGAGAGATTGTAGATGTCTCCTGGAGGCAAGCTGAGAATCGCGGTCATGACATTGCGTGTTACCTGCAAGGTCATCAAAATCAAGGGTTTAAACTTCTAGTGCATGAGCCGATCAGCGCAACACCACCCCAAACAACTACAGTGCTCTAGCAGACATTCCTTCTCTGTTCTATTCTGCAATGTACCATTTATTATATTATGGGTACTTTATAGCCTCAGAAAATTATACAAATTCCTCAAATGAGCCAAATGCAAGGTCACCTTAAAAGTATATTAATATAATATGCATCAGATAGAACAATTTTGCAGTTAGTTCCCTCATTTGGAGTGGGTATTACTCTGATATTTTCCCATATATTTGTAGCCAGTTTAGAAAAGGCAATTGCTGGCTTGCCACAGATATGTACATTGGGAGAAGCTAAGAGGTCACCTAGCCATATCTACAGACATGTGTCTTTTTACCTAAAGACTATATTTCCCATCCTCCTCTACAGCTAGAAAGGACCATGCAACTCAGTTTGGACCATTGGATTGTAAGTGGAATTCACATGGGCAATTTATAGTTCAGTTCACATCCTGCAAGTGCTGAGCCTTCATCTGCTCATCACCTTCCTGCAGGCTGAAGCATGGATGTGATGATAATGAAGATTCCTCTGTGCAGATGAGGACAATCATAGTGGCAGAAGGAGCAACAAAGCAGAAAGAATCTGGATCCCTGGATGACCCCTTACAGCAAAAGTGCTCTGTTAGTTCTGTGCTATCATGAGAGAGACATAAACTCTATTTTGTTTGAGCTACTCCCTTTTTGTTTATTTATGTATTTATCACAGCAGTTTAGTCTGTACCCTAATCAACACAATGTCAAAAGCTTAATAAACCAGGAGAAAAGAAATCAGTATTCCCAACATACTCAAATCTTTAGGTGTTGGTGATATATGGAAAAAAAATTGGAATATATTAATTGTAGTTTTCTTGCAATTGTTTGGCATCTTAAAGTAAAAGCTCAAATCATAACTTTAAATGTAAGTGAAATCAATAGTTACAAGTATTACCAGCTCACTGTTAAAGATTAGAAGGTAAGCTTTATGAAAATAAGAATTTAATTCTTGTTCACAGTCTTATCTTCAGAGCCTAAAACAGTGCCAACTGGCATACAAGCATGTGTTTGATGTCTCAATAAACACTTGCTTAATGATTTTCAATAGTTCATGCAACTAAATATGCATATTTGCCCAATATTGGGATTCAAAGAAACATACACTCTTTTTAATTTTCTTCTTTCCTTCTGCAACAACCATCCAGTGTAGCATTCTAGAATGGGACAGGTCAGTTGTGTCATCTCCATATGTCCAACTGATATATAACAGACTGTTGAAATATTCCACAGAAGTGATTTCTGGAGCCACTGGGGCTACAAGGGAGGAAAGAGGCACAATTTAGCATAATAGACTAATAAGTAAAGTACTTATTAATAGAGCATGAAATCCCATATAGTGTTAACTTGGAGAATTAAAAGTCACACCACATAGTGTCCTAGGGACTCTGGGATGTCTCAGTAATAGAGTGAAGGTTGGTCATATAAGATGGACATTTGTTTTTGGGGGCCTCACCTTGTATATCTAAGACACAAGACAGGCAGACCCATCTGTGGCTGAGGGTATCAAGATCTTTTACACAAATTTCAGTTACGATTCCTAAAATGTTCACTTGTTTGGGTATACTTATGACATCAATAAATTAATATTAATAGGCATTGGTGAAGTTATTATCCAGGTAGTTTGGAAAACCTGGGGTCCTGTAAAAGTAATTCTATTTCATTTATTTGCAGTGAAGATGTTTATGGGAATAAAAAACAGTAGAATAGGAGGGTAGAAGGATAGAAGATAATGGCATTATAAGTAGAAGACAAATTTTATTTCTATAAAATAACAAGGTGATATTATTGGCAGTGTCTAGCCCAGTGCTTTGCAGAAAGTAGGCTCTTAATAAATATTGCTGAAGTAATTAGTAAGGGAGAGAAGGAAGGGATTTTTTAAAAATCATGTCATAAAGCTATTAATAAATTCCGATACTGAGCTTGTTACTTTATTTTATAATCTTACACATTTAAATTTTTAAAATTTGGCTAACTAGGGAGGAGAGTTCATCATAGGCTTTATAATACATGAGCTCTGAAAGCATACTTTAATGATTTTTTTAAAGTAACTGATAATTCTGAAGATTTTAAAAAACAAGTACAAAGTCAAATTTAAAATCAATGTGTATGTTGGTTTAAAGACAGTAAAAAGTGTTCCATTCTGAGACACTGCACAATATCAACTAAAATATTAATATTTGGAAATTTCTATAAACAATAATGAATTATTTTCTTTAATAATTATGCTATGATGTTATGATACTAATACTCATAACAAACATTCATAACTAGCTATGCTTTCAAAAGCAATTATTCACTGAAGAATTTATTATATATAAAGTAAAAAACACATTTATGTTTCATGTGAAAAAGGAGTAGCATTTCCAGTATGTTTAAGAATAAAATCCTGCAATATCAACAATTCCTATAATAAGTAACACAAATCTATATTATATTTCAGAATATTCTACTTAAGAAAAACCTCAGCTTTTGTATAACCTTTTAATATATTTCAACATACTTCATCATATGCAAATACTTATATATATTCAAAGAATATTTTCTCATGTTCTAATTTTAGTGAGGACAAGAAACATTTTTAAAATTGCAAACCAAGAAGTTTATATTTCCTCTTACAAGTACTAGGTCTTCAGATTTTTATACTCCATGTTGTTGTTTTAAAATCTAGCATATTGCTGGAAGACCACAAGATGTCACTATTTATTTATTAATAAATATTTGGCTTCCTAGAATAATTACTATGAACTTGCAGATGAAGTTGCCTAACAAGGATAATAGATTTGAGTTCCTAATGAATTACACTTAATTAAAATATTTTGTTCCTATTTCCTTTTATATCACACAATTTGGCAATTTAAATTAAAACTCAAAGCATAGGAAAGTAAAGCATGAGATCTTTATTTGTTTTAAATAATATCCTTATTTGAAATAAGGAAACAAAGGCAAAAAATGAGAAAACCCTACAAGAATTTCAACTGGTTTTAAAAATAAGTATAAAAATTATAATCATCTATCATACATATTTTAATAATGATTTATACTGTATAATTTAATTCTCACATTATCCTTTGAGGTATTTATTATTATTATTCCCATTTTATAGATGTGAGAATTGAGATCACCTGTGTCAATATGCTCAGATGAGACTGTGAATGGTTGTATCTGCATCACTTAGTTGTTTCGGGAAAAGATAAATTTCCAAAGATTTGTTTATTGGAGTAATAGACCGCTCCAGGCAAACAGCTTGCTGATTAACCACAATTTATCCAGACTTGCTATGTTCACCTAACTGTTATAAACTTTGACCAGCCCCAGTCAGTTTCCCATCTTGAAAAGCACAACTTAAACCCCTTGATCAGAACACCAAATCCTATTAGTATTTCGTTTCTGATGTCTACCTTATGAGACACTGCAAAGACTTGATGAAGGTGATATTCTAATATATTAAGTTTTGCTCTATTAATCATCTTCCAGGTAATAATTTGGAGGATTCTACCAGTGAGAAAATAGAAGCCTCAGAACCATTAAGATAACTTGCTCAATGTTCTACAGCAAGAAATGAGCATATCTCCAGGTAGAGATGCTAAGTCTTGGCTTTTTCCAGACAGCTGTCCTGTCTGAGAAGGAAAGATTGTTCTCAGAAAGTTAATGTCAATAAAGTTAAACTGTAAGAATTATTGATACAGTTAAGTTTAATTATAATTAAATATGTGACTTTTAATATAGTCAAGAGCCTAACACAGTGCATGTCAAATATTTGATATTTTCTCCTTTTTTTGGTATTCTTTCACTTTTCTACTCTAATATTACCATTAACATCTGGAACCATTAGTAAAGAACAATGACATACTATGTAAGTTAATTGTCTAAGAATTCACATTTAATTGATTTCTTTCCATTTTTTTTTCATTGATAAGTTTCAACACAATAAAACTAGATGTCCACCGAGGGAACCATTTTGCCAGAACTATTCTTGATCTAAGTAATATTTTCCTCCTCTGCTTTCCCAGTACAACTCTGACACTACAGCTTTGTAGTCCAGTGAACAGTTCTTAAAAAAAATCATAGTTAAAGCAACAAGGGTTAGTGTTTCTTTGATGAATTTCTCTTTTGCATTGCTCTCTCTGACTAGTGATGATGCAGCTACGTAATTTAAGGTTCTTGAGGATCTAAGACCAAACAGTTTTTTAAGTGCTTAAATTTTGTGCCACGTATTTTACAAAGCAGCTTATTTAACAGTGAAGTAGTGATGGATAATAATAACAGAGAGTTGATACCGTTATCCCCATTTTACACATAAAAACCCTGAGGCTTAGAAAAGTTTACATGCTCAAGGTTGCATGGGGTATGCAGCAGTCATGATTCAAATCCAGGTCTGCCCGTCTCCAAAGCCTGTTTATTTTTATTTTTTTGTGTGGTCGATATCCAAAGACAAAGCCTGTTTTTAACCTGTGCAATGAACTCTACTACAGTCAGCCTGTGACTTTAAAAATGGCCTAATTAATAAGGAAATGGAGGCACTCCAACAAATACAACCATCGAATGGGTAAATCAATTGCGTGTGCAGGGTGAAGCTGGAGGCTCTGCCAGCTACATCGCTAATCAATCGCAACTGGGGAAAACATAAGTCAAGGGCAGTGATTCAGAACAAAAGTAAGTCAAGGGCAGTAACTCAGAGTAATAAAGATGATATTTTAATTTTTAAAGATTATCCACTAAACGAATAACGAATGATCGAAATCGAGCATATTATCTTCCATGAAATTGATGCTTCATCAGCATTGGGTGAAATGTTTGGCACTTTCTGGAATTTTGGCCCCTCTGTACCTCTTCAAAATAATGTCCTTTCCTCATGGAATTGTTTCCCACACACCACTCACCTGTTATGAAGCTGATGGTTGAGCTGTCACAACAGCTCAATTCTGGATCTCCCCATGTCACCATGGTAACCCGGAAGTTGTAGTACCATGCTGGCAACAGATTAGCTATTCTCTGCATGAGGAAAACAAGCAAGGAGACAAACGACTAAGGGGGAAAATAATATTTTTGGAGTAGAGTTACTTTCAGAAGGTCATGAAAAGAACTACATAATTTTTATTTTTCGTTTTTGTGCCTTTTCGTATTTCCAAAGTTTTCCATGATTAAAAAAAAAAATTCTTTTTGGAATGAGGTGGTGCATAAATAAAATGAAATACAAAAATATTTAATTTAAAAATATAGTTTTCAAAATGTGATTCAAAGATATAGAGTCAAATATTTCCAATTTTGGTTTCATGTCACAATTTCCTATGTAATATTGCACAAATGAAATAGTAATTATTTGTAAGTGATTGTACATACATAGTCTCCTATTTTTAAGACAAGTGACTTCTCAAACTCTGTGTTTTTCCAGTGTAGACCAGAAGTCCATGAACAGGAGTCCTTTGGGTTGTCAACGGGTTAGAGAGCAATTGTGTACTTCATGCATAACCCGTAGGGACCTATACTTCTAAAAATTATTCCAATCTCAGAAAAAGCAATTGTTACCTGTTCTCTTGAACATCATCCTCTAATAGACTGACAGTAGGGATATTTAACTGATTTGTAGTGCCAAGAAGAGTCATCATTAGAGTTGGGCAATGCCAATTAACCACTGAATGCCTAATGAAATCTCTTGTGTTTTCCTCCTCAAGTACAGAGAGAAACAATAAGCACTCTATCCTGCTTTAGGCAAATTCATTAGGAAAAAATGGTGATTAGCCAATAAATTCATTTAGAGGTGAAAGCTAACATCATGCACCTCTCTCAAAAACAAAAACAGAACCCCAAAACCTAAAATCAAATCCAGCTAAAAAAACACCTTGAAGGGGGAATACCTATGTGTGTTTGCAAAATGATCTGCTTTAGAGATAACTTTTTCTGACACATTTGGTGCATAAAGGCAGGTCTGTTCCCATAGGAACGTGTGGCAGCTGTTTAAGGGGAGATTACCACAGATGCAGTCAAGGAGACCGTCGCTGCGATTTCATAGTAGGTTGTCCACTCTGATGTCATTGTTGCAGGGTTGAAATAAAACATCTCAACCACGTATTTTCTAAACACTCCTAAGTAAGGTCTGGTCCAGCTCAGAACCACTGCTGTAGGACCCAAGGGATAGAGCATCAAATCCTTTATTCCGGTGGGAACTGAAAAGCATCGGGGTGGGGGATGAAAAAGAAAGTCAAAAAGAATGGTTACTATCTCAGTAACGGCCTCAAACTTCTACTTAATAGCCAGGAGTTTCACTCTTCTGATACGAATTTTTTTCTTTCTTTTTTAAAGACAGGATCTCACTATGTTGCCCGGGCTGGATTTGAACTCCCAGGCTCTCAAGCAAGCCTCCCACCTCAGCCTCCCGAGTAGCTGGGACCACAGGCATGTGCCACCGTGCCCAGCTTCCCTCTGCTGACACAGCCATTGAAAACTAAGTAAATAATATTTGTCTCTGATTTTTCCCCCAAGTTGTAAATGCTAAGGATGTCTCCCAAGTATACAATTCTAGTTATTTGTTACTCTAAAGGTGGACTATTGGGTGGACTAGCCTGGGCCTTCCATGTACGATGATAATGATTTGAGCTTGTACATCACATCTCTCCAACCAGTCCTCTGATAAAGAAGTCATTAGTCTTGTGGCTAGCAACTTACCAATGGCAAATGTCACAGGATCTGAAGGTGGTCCAATCAAAGGGCCTTTCCTTAGGTACATCACAACCTGATACTGGGCACCAGGAACCAGATTTTCAATAATAGGTTTGGTTGAGTTCACCTTTAAACCAAACATGCAATGAGATTTATTTAGACCCGGGCTTTTATAATGTGACAAAGAGGCTGAAACAGTATTCAGGGACTCTTTTTGGAATCACTGATGACTTTGAAATCCAGAAGTCTTTACTCATGCTGAGGAAGGTCAGATTTCACAATTAGGATGATTTATAGTTTATGTGAAGACTGAAGGGAACCCAGAACATTCAAATGCTATGGCTATTCTAAGCCCTGTTAACTGCTTTATGCCATCAACGTCAACTGTAACTGTGCACCCTAGAGACACATCAGCCTCTTACCCATAATCAAATCAGCAACACCACAAGGATAGTCTGACATCCTAAATTGTAGTGTCAGCTGATTACATACAAAGATCAGTGCAGAAATGTCTTCAGTCTCTCATCACTTAGAGCATATAATATCTAATTATATAAATGAAAACAACCTCAGAGATGATCTAGTCTAAATCTCTCATTTAATAGATAGAAAAAGGAAAGCCAGAGAATGGCCAAGGTCACATATTTAGTTGCAGTGTTGGGACTAGAAGCATAGTGTTGTGCTAATCTACACTAATCTACACTATTGAGGGGGGTCACTGGGCTAAGCATTGAAATATAGTGGTAAGCACTTTGCAAGGCTGTTGTAACCCTATAAAATTGTGGTAGAGAACATTTCTCATTTAGATAAGCTCTTCTTTACTGTTCTTTTTTTTTTTTTTAACTCAACATTTGGTTATGTAACAAAAACCATATAGAGAAAAATAGTGAGAGCACACAAATGAATAAAATGTATTTCTTAAAGTTGAATGTTGGCACTCAAAAGGATTGATGATTCAACCAACAGGTTAAGAAATGTGCTGCTTCAAACTCTAGTGTCTCTAACAGTTAAGACAGTCTTGCTTAGTGGAAAGAACGTAGGTTCTCTATTCAGATTGCCTGGAATCAAGTCCTGCCTCTACTCTTTATAAGCATGGGGATTTATTAAATATTTATAACTTATTTAAAACTCTTACCTTGTTTTCTTAATTGTTAATATATAGGTAGTAATATTATCTACCCCACAGAGCTGTGAGAATGTTTAAGCCAGAGTATCAATAAATAATAACTCATTACTTATATCAACTTTTTGGCCCCTGGGGTACATACAATTGTAGAATTGCTACAGGAAGGAACAGAAATCAATGGCAAACAATATTACTGACAGCTTACCTATGCTGTAAGTTTTTTTGAGGGTTTCATGAAAATGTTAAGGATAAACATAGCACTGGCGATAGGACACGAATTTATGAATTTTAAAACTTTCCAATATCATAAACTGATTATACACAGTAGAAATCTTATAATTTGAATTGGCACAAATTGCTCTACACATAAGTGGAAGGAGTAGCATGCCAAAATTCATTTTCCATTGGCTTGACCAAAATAAGATTAGATTGAATTTATAAGTTAACATTTCTACCCTTCCTATTTTACACTCTTTCACATCAGGACTTTTTGCCCATGTTTTAGATTTTCAATTCTCCTGGAAGCCAAATAGACAAAGTTAGTCAACTAGATGTCTTCATCCGAGGGAATTTCCTAAAGAGTCAAATTATGAATAAGAACATGTATGTTATGCACATATGCAGTGCTGTTTTATTTCTTAAAAATACATTTTAAGTGATAAAACTATATTGTAAAGATTGTTCACCCAATAAAAGAACAAATGAAGTAAATCGGGAGTCTTTCTGTTCTCCTCCCACAAATCCGGACATTTTGGTAGGCTTTCTTAAAGACCTTCCTCTAACACATATACATAAATAATATGCTATTGAACCACGTATGTGTTATATTATCAACATTGCCCCAAACTTTTCTTTTAAAATTAACAACACATTGTAGACATTCCTACCATACCCACCACTGCTGACCTAGCTTACTGATCACTCATTTTGCCTATTAAGAATTATTAGAATAACACAGGATATAAAATGTATAGATTTTCAAAGTGATATTAAAGTTCCTTTAGTTTGATAATATTTTAGGCAATAGTTGATTCTAATTATTCAAATGACTACCTGAAATCATAGCAACTTAAATATGTCATTATAATAAATTCATCCTAGGAAATTATACTTTTTGAAATAAGAAGCTGCTCTGTGCATATACATCACATTATTTAAAAAAATGACAAGAGGACAATGGTATTGCAAATTACTTGCCTTGGTAACAAATTATAAGCACTGATTTCTACCCCCCTAATTTATGAATATTTGCTGAGCAGTGAACCTATACTTACACTTCCATCCCTCCAGGCCTTTTTATTTATCCTGGGCCTCTGTGGGGGTGTGTTGAAGGTAGAAAGAAAAAATGCTCCTGCATTCTGCTTACTAAATAGTATATGTTTTATTTTCTGCAAGATCATTCCATACTTCCTCCCTCAATTTCTACCCATCTTAGCATTCTAATATTTTCCTTACTGGCTTAATCCTTCATTACTAAGAACCCAGTTGAGCCCAATGTCTCTCCAATTAGGCACCAAGTCTATTCTTCCCCAGCTAAAGAAATAAGAGGAAAGATGTACAAGAGGGCATCACTGGAAGAAATATATAATATACTCTTAAATAATAGGGATGAACAAGATGATAGCGAAAGTTCCTTTGAGTCGGAAATGGTCTTATTTCCACAAAAAATGCTTGTGGTGACTAAGATTATGCCTAGCATGTGGTGTGGTTCCTGAAGTCCACTTTAAATATCAGTCTTCTTGCCCATAACCCTTACCAGGATATTTCATATCCTGTTTTCTTATTTGTATTTCGAGAAAGCATTCTCAAGGTGCACTTGGACCAGCCCTTTCTGGCTCATTTATCATTTACCATATCTCTCTGTACCTTTAGCTGTGGGTTTCTTATGTGAAAGTTGCGTAATTTGTATATGAGGTAGAGCAAGGAAGAAATGCACTCCGCAGCAGCTGAATTCTAAGTCATGGTCTGTAGGGAAACACATTTTTCTATCAACGTAAAGTGTCAGTCATCTTGGATATGCGCAGGGAAGGACGCTAATAAGCTGCACAATGAGCTGTGATTACTAGTTAATCAGTTTAGCATATCTATTCCTTAATTTAATTCCAGTCAACGGGCAGCCTCATTCTCAAGTAAGGGCTTATCTCAGCATTCTATGGCTTTGTAGTGCTCCAAAGGCTACAATTCCTGAATTCATCTTGCCAACATAAAATTTCTCATTGTTTGAATTTCATTAAATGCCTAATTTTGCTGGGAGGAATGGAAAATCTCAAATAGCTTTCACATAGCAAACATCTTTTCTGAGTATTACATTCCCAATGTACTCCCCATGAATCAATAATGTTTTTTGTTGCCTTTAGGGAAGAAAATGTGTTTGTGAAACACCAAAACTCACCAAATTTAACCTCATAAAAAAAAAAATAAAACCAGATTTTAAGAAAATAGGACTGAGCCCCAGGTTCTTAGGGCACCTGAGAGCCAGGTTCACTCCCAGCAAATATTGCAGTTTCACTGGGGTTTGGGTGTTCAGTGTGTGCATTCATTCTGTTAGCCACTCAGTGGACCGCTGTTGTGCACACCATCTCTCCCTCTTCTCACTTACAATTGGTAAGGGAGGTGGTTTTTTTTTTTACTTTATATGTCTTTAATTTTTGCATTGTTTTCTCATCGAGCACATATTACTTTTATAGTCAAACAAACAAACAAAAATCCCAAAACCCTCTCTTGGTTGTCTTCTCCTCTGGGATGTTTTTCTGAACAATTTCCAAATACCCTCACCCCACCTCCAGCCCCCCAACCCACCCGATCATGTTTCTCATGTTCTGAGGCTTCTTCCTGTGAACTCATCTGGCCTCTCTTCATTTATTTTTAGCCTAAGCCTTATTCTATATGGTGCAGGAATTCTATGTTCACTTATTCATTGTTCTCACTGGCTTATGGGCTCTGCAAGAGCAGGATGTTTAAAATTTACCTAGATTTCCAACATCTATCCTAGTACCTGGCACATGATGGGTGCTCAGCAGATTCTCTTGAATAAAGGGTGAAAGTAAAAGGAACAGGGCCCTCCTATGAAGGGAAAGGAAGATGACAGTGGAACTGAAGAACCCTTGGTACCACTGCTTATAACACGCCCTCCCGGACAGACCTCAGCACTACCTCTTGCAACTGCCTCTTTGCACTGCCCTGCGGAGATGCGTTTTAGTGGGACAGGTGTGTCCGTCCATGTTTGCTTTCCTTTACCTGAGTGCAGTACTGCTTTTCAAGCCTCTGGCTCTCCTTTTGCTTCTGGCAGGTGAGTGACACCACAGACACAATGGTGCTGTTGTAGTTCTCCTGGGAAGACGTCCAGGACATCAAGGCAGTGGTTGAGCTCAAAACATGGACGCTCACATGCTGGGGCTTCTCCGTCAGCTCTTCGATCCAGTCTCCTGAAGGACCTGAGCATTACAAACGACAGCACAAGGGACCGTTGCACACCGAGCTGGTTCGAGAGAAAAGATTCTAGTTTTAAAAATCCTGCTGTTTTCCTTTTGCCCTTGCAAAGAGGTTCAAAGTAAGCTTGGCAGTCCGACTGGCAACTCTTTAGATCTTCTGCCTAGCTGCAATCCCAACTCCGTGACCTCACCTTGATGTTAGCACCAGCGGCCCCAGCAACAGCGACAACAAAAACAGATCTGCTGGGAGCCGGGAGCTCCACTTCAGTCATCATGCACATCTATTTGAGAGTATTCTGGCAAATTCTCCAGAGAGAGAATTTACTTCTCTTTTAACAAAGAGTGGCTGTGGCAGTGTGGCATTCACCAATGCGTACAATTCCTTTGCTAGCAGGGTCACTGGTCCCCCCAGAAATAATTACTCTAAAATTCAAATTAACCTCTACTACTATTCTGTAAAAATTTTTTTTTAAGTTTGGCGGCAGCAGGAACAAAGAGGCAGGCTGGGACTGTATGTATTAGAGAAGAAACAGGCAACAGGCTGCATCAATTAAAGAAGTTGGCTGAAACCTGGGTGTTAATTTGAGGGACAGGATAGGTTCGTTACCACAAAATATCCCCACAGAAGTGCCCACCATTTGCTTTGTTCTTCTAAGTTTCTAAAGTGGTTATTAGCGCAGTGCCTGACATGAAGGAAGGACTCAAGAAATGTTAAGGTGATGATTATCTAAAGAAATTCCCCGCTGAAATGCAAATGTGCAACTTTCCTTTATTTGCTTAGGATGCATTTCTCTGTTCCTTAATTGAATGCTCTATTCCTAGGCTGAAACCCAGGGGAAGGACAGGAGCAAGTGGCTCTACTGGGTGTAAATAGTACAAGGGAAGTAATAATAATAAAATGATAGCAAAGAGACATAGCACCCACTACATACTAGGCTGTGTTTTAAGTTTATATGTGTTTACATATTTTAATCCTTTCATTTTTATAACAAGCTTATAAGTACTACTATTAAATCTCATTTATCAGAGGAGGAAACTGAGGGGGAAATAGGGTAAGTAGACCTAAGATTCACACACAGGAGGTCTGATTCCAAAATCCATGCTCTTAACCCTGCATAAGACTTCCTGGAGTACTGTGAAATAGTGAAAAGTTTGGAGATATGAAAATTGGGCCAAGACTAAATTTTGGTCATTACTAGTGATGCGACCTTGGGCAAATGATTTAATTTCTCTGAATCTCAGTCTTTGCATTGGTCAAATGGAAAAATTATGGAAAGTTCAAATTGAAAAGAACTTTAGAGACCCAATGCCTTATTTTACTGATGGGAAAACTGAAGCCAGAGACCTGAATATCTACCCAGTGTCACAGAGCTAATGACCCAACCCAGATCTGTCTCCTGAGTGCGTGCTTTGTGACAACATATCATGATGCCTTCTGATTAAGCTATTTCACAAGGTTGTTGTTGGGATCAAGTGAGATAATATAGATAAGAGAAATATACAACTGAGGAGTGTAGTTACTGTTTTGAAGACTACTCTACAGTAAGGGCACACAGAAAAGAAGTGGGAGGAAGCGAACAAATTCACTTATTTAATGGTTGTGCATTAGGACTGACCTGATAATCAGCTCAAGGTAAGGGGTCATTGCAGGCTGTAGAGAAATAGATTTTGTCATCAAATATTCCTAGGTTCTAATCTTTGTTCTGACACTTGGGAAAATCACTGAGTTTTCTGCAACTTGGTATTTTTTTTACATGAAAAATGGGGATAACAAAAAAATGTTCTCTGAGTAAGGCTGTTGGGGGGACTAATGTAAATTTCTACCTTAATTCTTATCTCGGGGAAAGCCGTCAGAAGTACATAAGTATAAATCATAATGCAGCAACATAAACATAAATCTTAATGTAACAAATCTTATTGTACTTGCTCAACACCAGAATATCTGAAACAGTTTCATCATGGAAGTGGGCTGCAAATACAATTTGCTGGTATGTGACTACACTATGCGGAGCAAAACGAAGGCAACTTATTTTGTTGCTCACTGACCCAGTTAAGTATCAGTATTTATATCTGCAGAATATTCTTTTAAACCAAAGGAGTATACACAGTCCATCCAAATAGCTCAGGCAACTTACTTTGTTGCTCACTGACCCAGTTAAATATCAGTATTTATATCTGCATTATCTTCTTTTAAACCAAAGGAGTATACACAGTCCACCCAAATAGCTTATTGCCACAGAATACAATATCCTAAGCACTTAAGAAGGTCGTTCTTTTAGGGGAAGAGAAAAAAACAAAATTTCTAGTGGCCTATATTTTTCTAGATGAATACTAAGATGCATCTCTTTGAAAAAATCATATTTCTGAGCAATTCTGACATGTTCTAAATGGCACTAGTCACTTTGGCTACTGTAAGAATAGAGCAGAGGGTCTGACACATAAAAATGGTTCAATAAATATTTTTTTGACTGTATAAAAGAAAGAATAAATAAACAAATAGTGTAGCCCTAGCCTAGGATTTTATAATTTGAGATAAGAAGCAAGATGAAAAAAACAAATAAATCTAGAAAAAGACCACACTAATAAGTTTTATGTTTTGTGCTGCTCACTATGGAAATGAAAAAGAGAAAATAGAAAATAATAGAAAATCATGGAAGAGAAAAGCCAGAAAGGCCAGAATTGTTGAGTAAGTTTTCGGGGAAGCAACTGACATGAGTAGGGGATCCATACTGGTGGACAAGGAAATCTTTTCCTCAGTGAAGCAATTTTAGCCTCATAGGAAGAACTGAATACTCGACTTTGTTCTCATTCTCAAGTAAGCTCAAATGCAAGATCTCCCACACTTGAAAGACATGCAAGGCAATTACGAATATACTTGCTGCACGTCTGATGGATATGTTAGGCCTTTTGCCAGCAGTGATATTTTTGTTCTTTTAAACCTTTTCAAACTGCTACACTTTTTAAATCTCCTCCCTCTACCCTCATCCTTCCCCTCCCACTCACCTTTTTGAGGATTATTTAATGAAAGATACTATTTTGCCTTTGGAGAAGGCCATAGAAAAGGTGGTTGTCCTTTTCTGAGAGTATTTTTTACTCCTTGCCTTCTGGTTTTTCTTTCTGCTGATTAGAGGCATATTTAACTCCTGAAAAGTTGGTAACTGATTTTTGGCCTCTAAACTTCCAGCAAACATAGTTTAGCTAAACGTGTTGCAGAGACATGCACCATGTGCAGACTTAAGAGGCTAGGTTGCACTCTGCTATTGCCCTGTGGGATCAGTAGAAACTGCCCTAAGACTTGACAGTGGGGCTTTTAGGAAGCTCTAGATTTGGCTTCTCCTGCCAACCTTATAGACACTGCCTAGCTATAGCTACATTTGAATTTTTGTCTTTGTTTTCAGCTCTAAAAGCTTTATTTTCCAATGAGATTTTTCACACAATCTTATATAATGTTTCATTATGGCCCAAACTGTGTGTCCATATCCTTGGAGAGTTTGTTATGGCAAGTGCAGAAGGTCAGTTTAATAAATGTACAACCATCACAATAATAAAAAAAAATCCTCAAGTTAAATCCCTGGGTAGGTTTGCCGCTATTAAACATACATATATTTCCTCTGCTATCAAAAGCTCATGGACCGGGGCCTCTCCTGACCTTGAAGAATTCCCAGGATCTCTAAGGTCTGTGAATTATTGATATCTGAGCATCATTAATCTCACCAGTTTCATTGTTCTAGAGCCCCTGTAAGTGCAAAATAATCTTTTTGCTACTTACTGATATAAAAGCTGAGTGATTTTGCTGACTGGCTTTTTCGAGTTTCACAGGCTCCTGAAGAACTAAAGGTTGTCACAGATAACTTGTATTTCCCGGGCTCCTTCAGTTCTGCAACAAATTCATGCGCTTCTTCATCCACTGTCAAATATTCAGTAAAGTTTTCTAAATCATACATAAAAAAGAGAAGATATATCAATGCTTACCTGGAAGGGCCCTGGGTATAAACAAGTCAATTGATTTAAAAAAAAATAGGTATTTTTTATATTGTTTCCTTTCTTTGGTCAAGTTCAATTTTACCTCTAAGCTATAAAAGATAGATGAAGAAGAGTTCAATTTTTTTTCATACTACTTTTAAATAACAAAACTAAAACATGGTGTCCAAATCTATAAAATTAGAGAGGGGTGTATGGTGTATACTGTGTATCCTTATGTACACTTACCCAGCAAAATTATTTGCAAAAAATATAAGTAGAATGTTAAGAGAACATCGCAATCATTGGCTTTCTCATCTGGATAGAAGGGATTAAAAAATAACCAGCACCAAATATAAGGTCTTTGTGGTAGCATTAAATACCCGGGAATGCTTTAAAATATATTGAATTATTTCCAGCTAGAAATAATTCTTCTGGATAAATTTTGTGACACTTGTAATATTTTTCCTTCATCTCTTTGCTTCCAGAACTTTTAAAAGTAAGAATTATTTGGCATTGCTTCACAGTTCAACTCCTGCTGCTTATTACTTCATTTAAAGTCACATCATCAGTTGGTGACTATCACAGCCCTCAAAAGAACACACTGTCGTCAGATAAAAGCATGATAGAACCTTCATGGAAATAGGCAGTAAAAAAAAAATTCTGACTTACAGGATCCCATTTGCCATAGATTATACTGAGGAACAGAAAAATAAAAGACAGATTAAGGGAACTTTTTTTTTTTAATATAAGCAATTTCAGGCAAATGACTTTTGACTCAAATAATTGGTAGTGACAAAGGATTTCAATTTCATGTATTATCTGAGTATGATTGAATGTTCTATCATCTAGCACAGAAGAATCCACAGATTTTGTATTCTCATTCTCTTAAGTAAAATAGGAGAAAACAATATGTTATATATGAGACTAGGTGATCCTAATGTCCCGCCCTGAAAATAAGGCTGTCATTAATATCTTCAAATTTTCACAACTTAAGAACCTTTGCCACCCAAACTACTAGACTGGACAATATAAAATGAAATACGTTATTGCAAAAACAAAACAAACAACAAATAACCATAACAATCTACCAAACAACAATTGATATATACTTCATGACCCAAATTTGCTGAATGTCATGGCTCTGCTTTCATAAATTAGTAGACTAAAACATAAAGTATGAATCTCAAAGGCTGCATAAGTGAATCTAAGATATAATATAGCAACTAGAGTGGAAATACCAGTTGCTGTGTATTTTCTATTTTGCTACCAGCTCTTCTTTGGAAAAATTTGGGTGCTGATTTCACAAGGGCAATCCTAAGGGAAATAGGAGTAATTGGTAAGTGGGACTTGGGCCGTATGCTCTTGGTGGAGTAGTCATTTTGTCAGAAAGATTTTTTTGCTGCATGTTTCATAAATTTTCATATAAGAAAACACAAAATTTCTCTAGGATATTCTGTGATGATTAGATCTTTAATTCAAAATATTTCCAAATATAAGGTTTTCCTCAGCGTCCTGAGGTAAGTGAAATATCGGGCAGGGAAATGTGTATAGATGGATGTTGTGAACCATCCAAAACTTCAGATTCGGATCCAACCTATTCATTTTGGTTTTCTGTTCTCATTCCTTGTTGGATACTTAATTAAGTTCTTCCATTTCTTTACCATTATTGTTTTGATATTAACTATCTACCATCAATCAGTCTTTCTTTCTAAACTCAAATTTAAAGACATTTCCATTCCCTTCCTTTTGTACCATTTCTTATTTCCTCTGATTTCCTATTGCTTTACCTTCTCTTTCAATACGAATATGGAACCCATCAAAGGCAGTGGGTGGCTTTGGTGGTAACCAGCTCAGTATCATTTGCACAGGGAAAAAGGAGAAAGAGCCTGATGCTGACTTCTCAGTCTCACTGAGTGTACTGTTGTTTTCATATTCCATGGGAAGTATGCTGACAAATTCATCTTCACTTTCAGGAGTTGCAGACGCACTGTCCCACCAATGTGGCTGAGATGTAGTTTCGTAGTCACTGCTGTTAAAATCAGGCCAACCAGAAGAAATGTTGCCAGAAGGAATTTCAGAAGTTTCTTCCGTAAAATGAAAGACCTTGTCTTTTCCGATTGTGTCTTGGGATCTCATGAATGATTCTTCTGGAAAACTGCCGCTCTGTTCTTCCCAGTTGTTTTTGTTCAAGTTTACAATACGAACAGAAATATTTTGAGGTGGATAAGGTGCTGTAAGAAAGAGAATTTTCATTTTCAAGTCATTCTATTATAGTAAATATAGTGAATAGTAAATTTATAGTGAATAATAAATTTATAGTAAATTTCAAGTAATTCTATTATAGTAAATACTGAATCTATTGAGTCAAATACACAAGCAGATTTACAGAATAGAGTTTAATTTTACTTCCGATATATAGACATATTTACATCAAGGACATTTGTGGCTTTTAGTATACGTACTTTTAATATTTTGTGAATAATGTGTACATGTTAGCATTTCACCAGTCACATTCATGATATTATGCTTTTTGAAGTAGTAATTTAATCACTTCTAAAATAGAGCATGTAAATATTCTTCACTTTATCACAATCTTACTTTTTAAAAAGTGTATCTCTGTCCCTGAATCTTTATTAAAAAATCCCTATCCATAATATACTTATAGCTATCGAGATAAAAATATTCCACGTGACATAGTTGCACCTAAGAAAGCTGCAGACATGATTTCCCTTTAGAGAGGTTAACACACATATTGGAAATATGGTGTCATGCCTCACCTCTATAAAATGAAACATATGAGCACAAAACGAGTTTATGAACTATGGAAGCATACTTTTTGAGAGGTAAAAAATTATGAAGACATACGGCATGGTCTCTGCCTGCAACAGTTTCTATCTATCCTTCAAAAAGTAGCTCACATATCACGTCTTCCAAGAACTTCTAATAAAAATTTATCTCTCACTCTTCTGTGCTGTTAAATAGCTTTGTACCTCTTTTATCCCATTTATCTTATTCTGCCTCGTATTACTGCCATTGGTATAGTGGCTGTGCCAGTTTTTGAGGACAAGGACTCTGTAGCACCAGTCTTTGTCTTGATCTCTCTCAGTACTTAGAACAACTTTCAGGTAGAAGGTGTGCAATTAATGTATGTTTACTTGAATAATGAAAAATACAAATAGAATTTTAGACATTGACATGAGACAAATTAGTTATTTAGCTGAGAGTTTCCTGGTCTTGGCCTAATTAAAGAGAATTATGACATTTTTGAATTTCAAATTGTAAGGGCTTCAAGAGTGACCTGTCATAACCCATTCCCAGTGCTCGTATGAATGACATCTCCAGCCTTCCCATTGAGCACTCAGGCACGTTAGGCACACACGATATTGTTTATATTGGTGATGGGCATTTAGGAAAAAATATTTACTTTGTCCATCCATTCTTCCACCCATCCATTTGTCCATCCATCCATCCTATAATAATGCTTCATATTAGCGATGCTACTAAAATTAAGCACCAGAAGTTTTAGATACATCTGAATTCCAATATTTTCCTTTAATAATCTAATAATCTCTACTAGAACATCTTCCCACTGTATTTGTGCCATATGGGCATCTGTCTGATTATAGAATAAGTGATGTCTACTAGATGCAGGTACTTACTTAAGTAACTTTACTTAATTATAACTGTTGATAATATCATATACTTTTTTTGCTCTACGATTACAAATCTGTGACTGCATTAATGTGTTTTAGATTTTTCTTATTGAATATTTTGTTCAGTTTCCTTCACATTGATAGAAAATTTGTTTTTAGATTATGAAGAGTATATATTTATTTTCTTTTTTAGTTCTGGAACAGAGTATTTCTTAGGATAAAAATAAATATGTAGCAACATATAATTTAATTATTTTTACAGCAAATTTAACTCTTCAGAAGACTTACCAGTTCTATGCTGTTTGGGTTCATGACTGACACCGCTGTACTCCACAAGGGTACTTTTATTAAAAGTTGCCTCAGATACCAGCTGAAAAGTGATATTACTATAACATATTCCTGGCAGCCAGTGATTAAATACTGTTTTTCCCTTAAAGAAATCTGTGAAGAAAAAAATCAATTACATTAAAAATATGACTTTCTAAATGTCACATACTTCTAGAAAGTTCCAAACAATTATGATTAAATATATGTAAAATAATATTTCTTTTAACTTTCGCCATGGTCAGAAATAAAGAACTAGCAGAAGACTAGAGATGAAGCTGATTTTTTAGACTCGATCCTGAAGGGTTTTTCCTGCCAGAATTTCTAATAAGATTGGATACAAATGGAGTTAAATTTTTAATACAGGAACTTTTGGGATATTAAGTGGAAAAGATAATATAAAGAAATTGTAGAGATTAGTTGTATCTAGCAATTTAGTTTAAGATAAAAACTCAAGGTATTTTGCCACTTTATGACATAATAAAAGACAATTTTACGAGAAATCTTTTCATATATGAAAACTAGCCTAATTTAAAAGTAGACAGTTCATCTGCCATTTAGCAGACAGAAACTGCTCAGAAAACAGAAAAAAATAAAATTTAGATTCTGATTAGAAAACTTTAAAGAAAAAATAATATATTTAAAAATCTGATCCAACTCAAAAGAAATAAGGAAAAAAAACTAAAAGTACCACTTATCGAATTAAAAGCTAAATATGGTTTAAAAATGTATTGACTTAAAAATGGGGCATATTATTTTTAAACTCATGGCTTTTAAAGCAACAAAAGTTTCAGTAATTGTGTTTTAATCATTCATAAACTTGTATTGGCATGGGATCTGTAAGCAAATAAGGTTCTGTTTATTAATTTGCAGATAATATTTTCACTGAAAATAAAGAATGCAATAATTTGTGGAGTTCATGTTTATTTGATTTTTAAAAAGTTTTTAAAAACACTAAATTCACTGTGCATATTTTAAAGAGTGTCTCTGGAAAAAAAAAATCCATGGAGGAAGAGAGTTTGTAAAAGCAGCAAGTCAAAGGGACAATTTTCTGGATACCAAGCTCTTTGTGCTATAATACTTCAGTATTCACTCTCTACTTTACCAATATATGTCTCCAGTGACAACCAGCCAACTTTGAGACCATCATTTACTGCCCTCTCTTGCCCTCCATCACTGTTCTAGGCATTGTGTTCCTTCACTTGAATTCACTCCCAGGAAGCTGAATGCCCTCTCTCCTCTCCCCTCTCTCGCACCCCCAACTTCTACCCAGAGAGGTTGACTTAGTTCTTCTGAACAAGTTAAAGTATTAATTCTCCTGAACTCTTCTTTTTCCCCACAAGATCCCCCTAATGCCAATAAAAGCAGTGAAATCAATTTCTGTATCTTAATGCAATCATTAGCTGATCATACAGATAAATATATACAAAGGAACCAAAAAGGATTGTCTTTTGCATTCGAGGATAATCTCCAAAAGACACGTTGTAAAAGGCAATACTCTGGCTTCCCAGTCCTAGAAATGCCTTTCTATCATACATAGAAAGTCACGGTTAGGTGAGATGCTTCTAAACTTAAGTTTGAATTTATTTCCTGTACCAGACATGATGCTTCAGACAAGAGTAACATGCCAGTGATAATAATTTGACTGTATCTCCTGCTGGCTGCATGGCTCTCAGCTAATTAACCAGATGTTCTAAGAGTCTTCATAAGAAGATTTTCATGAATCAGTAACTATTTTTAATGAGTCATTTATAGGTCAAATAGCAGATTATAAAACTTCTTTAAAGTAAGAGAGAGCACAATTTGGGAGAAGCTTTAGGAAAAGTGACAGTCGTCATTGATTCTGCCACTTACCTTTATATAGCATCGTCCGGAAGTCTTTCCCTTCCCAGTAGCTTATGTTTACTCTCGTGAAAACGTTATATTTTTCTGGATAATGGATTTCAAACAGGACTCCTGTTTCAGGAGAAGGTTTATAGTCGTATATTGAAACGCTGGTTACAGGTAGAGGTTCTATAGAAAGGAAGAAAATGGAGACAGGGGAAAGGAAGAAGATAGAGAAAGGCCATTATCAATACTTGAAGGTACCAAAGTACCAGGGATTACACCTGCCAGTACGTCACTCATTTTTATTCTCTGTGAGCACTAAACTCCTCGGTACTCATGAGTTGAGTGTTCTTAACAGTAATTAGTAAAGTACATCTTGTATGATTCTCTTCGATTTTCAAAGAACTTTCATATTTATTTTTCCATTTGCCGTTTGCAACCATCCTGATAGAGGAAGAGTAAATATTAATATGTCCCTTCAACATATAAACATAATGATAACTCAGAGACTTTAAGTTACCTGCCAAAGGTAATTTAACAAGTATGTGGCAGTCTATATTTCCAGATTCTTAGTTTATTTTTCAATTCTTCATACCAAGAAAATTAGATATTAATAACAGATCAATAACGAGAAATAAATTTTGGCTCTGACCAATAATAGTCATGTGATAATTTATTTATCTATGTGAACTTAGCACTTATTTTTCTAAAAGTGTAAAATTTCAAACCATCAAATGTAGTAAAAATTATAGCTTGTGGTGTTTATCAAGCAACTCTTTCTACAGAAGTTTTAAAAAACATTCATTTCTATTTTACTGGAGTTGTTAATTCATCACAAAATGTTAAAATATTAATTTTTCTAAAAACCATGGTTAATACACATCTGCATCTCCTTCCATCTTACCCTCCTGCAAAATTCATGTAAATAACAGAACTCACACCCTTTTGAAGGAGCTATTGGGCAAATTTTACTTATATTAACTTCGTTAAGAAAATATTTTAAATAATTTGGTTTGGTGTCAACTATTATACTATTGAACAAATAATTTTGATTCAAAATTTTAGAATTGAGAGAATTTTTGGACTTCTATGGCCTAAATTAAAGCAGTTAATTTACTGCTAGTTTAAATTTTACACTTTTCTTGAGACAGAGTCTCATTGTGTTGCCTGGGCTAGAGTGCCGTGGTATCAGCCTAGCTCACAGCAACCTCAAACTCCTGGTCGCAAGCGATCCTTCTGCCTCAGCCTCCCGAGTAGCTGGGAATACAGGGATGTGCCACCATGCCCAGCTAATTTTTTCTATATAGTTTTAGTTGTCCAGCTAATTTCTTTCTATTTTTTTTTTTTTTAGTAGAGACAGGGTCTTGCTCTTGCTCAGGCTGGTCTTAAACTCCTGAGCTCAAATGATCCACCCGCCTAGGTCTCCCAGAGTACTAGGATTACAGGTGTGAACCACTGTGCCTGGCCTAAATCTTACACTTCTAAAATTTCAGTTTTAATAACACAAGAATCCAAAATTCAACTTAGTTCATTCAGTAAGTAATTATCGAGTATCTCGTATGTTTCAATGTGTAGCTGAATAGATTTCATTTTGTTCCTCAGGGTCTTAACCTATTTTTGCTTTTGATTGAAGAGATCAGGAAAGGATTGAACTGCGTGTTAAAGCTTTGACTTTCCTAGAATTTTCTGAAAAACCAAGAAAACCTCTGTGAAAAAGTTAGGAAGGCTTTTATACACCAGTACATGTTGTGATCATCCCTCTGCAGACTGTGTATTCTCTAGTTAAAAGGTTTCTATTCTATCTTTGTCCCATCCCTGGTCTTCCTATATAAAGGTAACACTTCGCAATGAACTCACTTATGTTCCATGTAAACAAACAAACAAACTCCTAAAAACTCTTGAATTTTCAGTTCAAAACTTCAAAAGATGTTTGCAACCATCTGAAGGTCTTTCTTTTAACCTAGCCTAGTTACCAACCCCGGAATCTCCCAAATCCAGCTATTGACTCTGGCTCTAAGCGAACCAAAATGAAAGCTAACAGACAAAGGAGCCACAGAGAAGAAACGCCTCCACCGTTGAGTCCTGTTTCACAGCCCCAATGGGGTTTCTTCTCCTGAAAAGAAGAGTTAGAAGGCCACTCAATATTTCATGCCCTGCGGCATGAAGTCTGCACATCAAAGCTATGGTCAGATTTTGAAGTTCAAGACGTTACAAGAGGATTAGAGAACAGATATTTTATTTTCTGATATTTTTTTTCCTGCTACAAGCTACTTAAACTTTAAACTAAGAGAATTTCTAAAGAGCCTGCTTATGTTCGTGTTATATATTTCCCTCAGCTTCACCATAAATGACCCAAGTCATCTGTAAATCCTAAAGTCCATGCCCGGGCATTACTGAGGCATATTCAATTCAAAAGTTACTGTTTTCAGTAAAACTCAAATGCATAGTCTAAAAATATTTTGCTATCTCTCCAGTTATTTCTCTCCTTATTTTTCTCTTTAGAAATTAAGTGATGTGGCATAAACCAGAGCTGTCCTTGCTCACATGCATTTCAGTGATGCCAAAGTTAAATCTTAATCTAATTCAATAGTCCTTTCCCTGCTGGCCACTCTCTGTGCTTGCCTTTCTTGCCTTAGGAACCAGGCTGGACTGGACAGAGAAATGGGGTCATAGAAAATGCGAATCATTTATTATATTTATTTATTACATTCTTGTCCTCAGGTATTTTTATTTTCTAAAGGAATAAGGCATTACAAATTATAGTTGAAACTCCCCCATATAACTTATCTGAGCCCCACTTTTTCCCACCATGGTCAGAGGTAAATTCTTACTCTGAATTTGGTGTTTATCTTCTCATGCTTTCTTTTTACTTTTATATTTGTATATATCCAACATTATTTCATGTTTTAAAATACTGTGTTAATGGTATCATATCATACATGTCATTCTGCAGCTTTTTTTAAATCACCTAACACTGTTTTGAGATTTGTCCATCTTGATACAAACATCTCTAGAAACTTTTAGTGTCCATTTTACAGCTATACAAACTATACAATTTATTTGTTATTCTTTGGTAGATTGGTTGCTTTCAATAATTCATTCTTACAAATATGCTGCAGTGAAGCTTAGAGACATGTCTCTTTAGGTTGAAAATCCTAGGTAGAACAGTATGCACAGTTTCAACTGCATCAGACATTGTCAAAATGTTTTCTAACTTGATTGGACCAATTTACATATCTATCAGCAATATATGATAATTCCTATTTCTCCGTATTCTTCTCCAACACTTGCTTGTATCAGTCTTTTTAAGTTTTGCCACATTGAGGTGTGTGAAATTTTGCCTCTTTTTTAACATCCTGCTTATGAAGGAGATTATTTTTTCATATGTTTATTGGACATCCAGCTTCCTCTTCCTAAAATTGTTTTATTCTTTTGCCTATTTTATGGGTGTTCTATCTTCTCCCATTAATTTGTTATATAATCTTTGTCATATACCATATTTCCATTGTCATCTTTAAAATTGTGTTCTGGATTTACCTTTCTGGATTCACCATTCTGTTCTTCTGGATTTACCTTTTTTCTAGCTGAAATATATCTATTAGCAGTTCTTTAAATTAGGGTTTTGGGTTTTAAATTTTTCTAGGCTTTATATATAAGAAAATATCTTTATTTTACCTTTATTCTTGGTGTACCTGGGTATAAAATTCTAGGTAAACAGATTTTTTCCCCCTCAGTACTTTGAAGATATTGCTTCATTGTTTTCTTGCATCAATAATTGCAAAAGGGAGACTTCTGTCAATGGGATCATTATTGCTCTGTAGATGCTATATTTTTGTTCCCTGGTGCCTTTCAAACTTATTCTTTTTATTTGGCCTAGATAATCTGCAGTTTTATCATCATTTATTTAAGCATAGTCTTATTTTTGAATTATCCTACTAGTTACTTAACTTGGAATGCTCTGTCAATTTGTGGATTTATGTCATTCTTTAAGGGTTGGAAATTCTCATAATCATCTCCCCAAACATTGTGCCCATCAATCCCTCCATTCTTTTACTTGATCTCTTAAACCTCCTCAGCTAGCACCTCTCCCAGCTCCATGCCTGTGAATCGTGTCACTGTGCCACATTACAAGGCAATTGCACAGTATTACCTTTCAGTACTAACTCTCTATCACTGTTATCAATATAGAATTTGTCACATCTACCGAGGCTTCTCAATTAGTCAACTTAAAATTTAATTAATTAGATTATTTTAAATCAGTTAAACTTTTAAATTAATTTAAATGATGGTATTTTATTTCTAAAACTTTTAATTTATTTTTGTTTATTCTATAAGTTTTTGTTAGATTTCTGTCAACTTTTGTTTCATTATTCCTTGATATTTTAAAGTCGATGCTATTCTTACGTTTATATCTTTGGACTTCATCGACATAATGTAAATTTTTGTTAGCTTCCTATTTAAAATATAACCTGAAATGGTACAGTTGCTTTGATGTCTATCCTTTCTACACAGATTCTTTGTGATTTTTGAAACACAGACTCTAGGCTCATTTTATGCTTTTTCATCTCCCTGTTTCTTGCTTATTGTCTCTTGCTTTTGAGACAGTTAAGCCATTGCTGCCTTTCAGCCCACCAGAGTCCCCAGTCTAAAATAAGACATACAACTTATTTTGGGGTTCTTCATATTGTGGATGCCATAGTGGCTACCACAGATTCATTCACTGAGTCAGAGAATAACTAGGCTTGGTCCTTGGTGGTGAGACGAATACGTGTCCCCCGCATCTCCAGGTCTTTATATAAGCATTTTTCCCTCAAAAGGGAGAAATTTTTGCTCTAAGCAGAGAGCCTGGTTCTGTGCCCCGCCTAGACTGCAGCATTTCAGTTTTTCTTACTATTCTGGGGTCCAAACTCAATCCTGTCTTTTCCAGACCCAGTGCACAGAAGGCCAATTACTTCAGCCCACTTCCCCACTTTAAGTTTCTGTTTCTTTTCTGATTCACAGAGATGACCATTGCATTTTCCAGCCTGGTAATGCCCTTTGGTTTTCTTTTTTGGTTTGTGGTAGAAGCAAAAATTATGTGACAAAGCAAAAATGTACTACATCATTTTGACTAGAAATCCTAACATTAAATTCCCATTTTTCTTTAATAAAAAAATTATGACATTTTATATGATAATTTTCCCTCG